TGCTTTATTAACAGAACGTTAGAGAATTTTTTGGATTATCTCTTGACATGGAATTCTGAATGCATGAATATACTCTAATTTCATTGTTTTAAATTACTCAGCAAATTTTAGCATGGAATTGGGATATCATACTATGATAATGACTGTAATTTATTAAAACTAAGTTAATAAGACAGCTAGATTTGCAAATTATCAGCATATTATGCCTATTTTATCTGTTTGGTTGTTTTTTTCTGATTTTAATTGCATACTTATTTTATATTTAAACAGTTTTTGTAGGTTTTACTTCAGAATCAAAGGAATTGCTGTTTTTAAAAACTGATAATCCTCTGAAGTGTTTTAAGATCTTAGTTAAAGGCTCACAGATGCTTTATCATCTAAAGGAACTTGTTAGCAAACCCAACAACCTGAAGACACACTTAGTATAAGAAGAGAACGGAAGGGAGAGAAAGGGACTCTTTCAAGTTGTTCTCTGGCATCCATGTGGGCCATGACTCATGCATGCTCATATACAGGCACACAGACTGAGACCTGGAAACACACATACATGCATGCATGTACACATGCACACACACACACACAAATGAATAAATAAATAAATGTAATTTTAAGATGTTACATTTTTAAATATTAGGAATATGAAATGAGGATAAAAGAATCTTTATAGGTGATTTCTAAATAACACAGCATTTTCAATGGCTAGAGCTATCATTTACACTAATCAAATTATGTATATTAACCTCAGCAAAGGAGACATGGGCATTACTGAGTCTTAACTATAGATATAGACTAATAAAACAATTCTCTTATTTGTGAAAGTCATGTAGGCACAACTTAACACTATTCACCGGAAATACCTATTTATAACAAAACTTTTATGTACTTGTGTTTGGACCAAATGATAAACTCCTGCTCATTATCTGATGTTTAAAAATCATTCTCCAGTCCATATTTACTTGGCCAGAACCTTTTTTGTATGAGGTACAACTAAAACATAATTGAAGGGTCAAGCATGGGTTTAATTAGGGTTATTCATCACATTTCATTTAGAAAATAAAGTAATTTGACAAAATAAATGAAAAAGAGATATATTAATTGTGAAGCAAAACAAAAACTAAGCAAGCCAAGCAAATAAACAACACCCTGAAACTACCTTCCCAATGTACACTATCTCACTAATTACTCTCATTAATCCTGAGATGGAAATTGCAGTTTTATATCCATTTTGGAGTAACTTGAAGTAAGTAACTCAAAGCTTACACAAAACTACCTGGGTGAGGAAGTATATTTATCTACAGGCAGAGTACTATTCTAAACAATGTCTACCTATAATTGAAACTACACGACTCTTCTCCATACTATTACCCAGAAACAATCTATCTTATTTATTTATTATCTATTTATTGCTATTATATATCTCATAATATCCATTCTGTAAGTAAGAGCAACTTAATGCTACAATGCTGTAACAGCAGCAATATTAATGTTATTAAACCTATTGTTAGGTTCCTATGTCCCTGGTTAAGGGCAGCATGGGTGACTTGGTAACAGTGTCATTGAGGAGGTCACATCACCTTCTGTGTACAGATATCTTCACCTTCTTACAGAGGAAAAAAATGGTTTTGGTTGGAAAAGTCTAGAGGTCATATAATGTCAAAAATCATCATAATTTTGGTTTTACTTGGGCATTGTTCTGCTCTACTGATGTATAACAACACATTCCTGATGCTGTTCAAAACACCAACATATCTCCATGGTCAGTGTGAACTCTAAGGCAGTTTCATGGCTGTGGGAGGGCTGCCCTGCAACTCCTCACATGGGAATGACAGGTCAGATTAAACAACCACCCCTACACTTAAGTTTCTAGGTCTAGTTGTATGACTTGAGCTTAGATAAGGCACTGCAAATCTGGAAGGTAAGTTACTAAGGACACACAAATTATGAGCTTTTAAGATTCACAGATAATTTTAGATTGGTAAACTATATTTGAAGTATGATTCTATTTAAAGTGTTGCCATTCAACATTAAATAACATCACAGTTATATGTGTGTAGCTGCTATGACAATAATAAATTGTCAGATTAACTTTTTAAAATGATGAGTTATGGTTCTTTTGGCTCAGTCAAAAAATGTCATGTTAACACCAGTTCTTACTCATTCAAAGTTTCAAGAAACTCAATATGGCCAATGGTCTCTTCCTTCTTCTAACACCTCTTTCTCTTCTTTGTGGGGTAAGTTTCTAGCTGCCTTATTTCTTTACCACTTCCTTCATCTCCCTGTTGAGTTCCCCCCTTCCTCTATATTTGTCTCTTGCTCTGGTAGGGACCTTCTAATGCTTTCTTCTTACACATAATCTGTGATTGACCTTACATACTCACAGGGTACCCAGTACCACAATTTGATGAATTCTAGCATGGATCTATATGATTGAGCTGCAGAGGCAGGAGGCAAGAATTGAAGCACAGGTCACAGAGAAATGTTACTTACTGATTTGTTTCTATGGCTTACTCAGATTGCTTTTTTATACCACCCAGGATCACCTGCCCAGGGATAACACCACCCACAGTGGGTTGTGCCTTTCAACCTCAATCACTAAGAAAATGTCCCACAGGCACACATCCAGGACAATTTGATGAACACAATTCCTCAGTTGAGACTTCTTCCCAGGTAGCTCTAGTATGTCAAGTGGACTAAAACTAACTAGCAGATTTGTCCTTGCTGTGTTTCACACTCAGTAAGTTTTCTACTAAGCCCATTATCTTTTTTAAAACAGACTCATTTTCCATAACTTGAGAAATGGCATCAATGTCCACAAACTGAGGGAAGATACTCCTGTACAAAAGTTGGTTTAAAATTATGTGCTTATGTATGTGCACATGTAACAAACAATTCCTGCAAGTGATAAACCACATTCCCAGTTAAAGCAGGTAGGTTGGGAGGAGGATTGTGGCAAAACTGATGGTTCAGACTAACCAAAGGAGGTAATGAATGCTAGCTAATTATAGTCCTGTTGGCTTTACAAAGTCTACCCAAATGGGGTCTTTTGTCAAGACATCAAAAATAGGACTTTAAAGTGAAATATCTGCATGTTTAGTGTTGATAATCAAATATACAACTAAACACCATAGATTAAACGTGTATGCTTGATGGGTTTTTGTTAGTTTTCTATCTGTTTTAGATAGATGTTATTTTATTTGAAAACTTAATTTTAAAATTTATTAAATTTTTCTGGTCAGAAGTCAAATTTATTTAGTAACTACTACTTGTTTAAAAACATCAAAATGTATATTGCTTCATCTTTATTACACACACACACACACACACACACACACACACACACACACACACACATATATTACATTATGCAGAACCTTCAAGAGAGTAAAAATATTTTCCTGACTAATTGCTTCCTGATTAATCATACAAAATATTTTATCAGAACTAATATTTTATCAGACTAATATTTATCAGACTAATTGTTTCCTGACTAATTAGTTAGACAAATATTTTATCATAAAAAATGAACTAGGTTATAAATTGCTCATAATGTGCATTACTTCCTGTTACAGTCAGCAGTATTAAACCTGGTGGTATGTGTTGGAATGTATGAAGGCAAACTGTATAAATGGAAGGCAGAAAGTTTGGAGGTTCTGTTGACATTTGGAGTACCTCTAAATTATACACTGACCTGTGGATAATCATATCAATTTGTTCCACACTGGATTCTATCATATGCAATAGAGGAAATAACTATTTTCATGTAATTTATTATATTTTCAAATTTATAAGGTTTAATTTTAAAACAAATGAAAATGTTGATAATTTTATAAAATAGTTGCCACAATATCAAATTTATAAGCACAATTTAATTTGTTTGAACAGATTTGAGGAAACTCACATACAAAAATCTCTTTCAGTTATGGAATCATATGATGAATAATAAGCAAGTCAACTTTCTCCATATGACTGAGTATACAATTCCATAATGTGTTTTGGCTATAAAGTAGGGATGTTAAAGGAGCTGGAGAAAAGATTGTTGGGAGAAAAATGTTGAAATTACCTGTTCAGAGATATGAGTACATTGGTTGGGTGTAGGGTGTTCCCTACAACCATGAGGATTTAAGGTGGACTTTTGCTGTTTACTTAGGTACAAAGGGGGAGTGTTCTCTAGTTGCAAATATTTGTTTTTAATCATGTTTTTCCCTGATTGTTCATGATTTTCTTCTATTAAAAAGAGATGTAAGAGTAGCTTTGTTGTATATCTGTAAAAAAAAAGCAAGCATTGATGGTCTCCAGCGTGTTAGACTATAGTGTAACTCTGCTGATTGTGCATCTTAATTATACTGTAGGGTGAGAGAAGGAAAAATAGTACCCCAGGGAAGAGTACACCAATTGGTTGTCCAGTATCAAACTATCAATCCTGAAAGCATACATATAAGAAACATTATACGGACTGAGAAAGTTGTATTCAGAAAAAAAATTATATATGTATATATATATATGATATATATATATATATACATTACCCATATATATATACACATGTATGCTTTTAACAACAGCAACAACAACAACAAAAGAAGCTGTGAATTTGAAAGTAAAAGATCGGTACATAGCCGGGCGGTGGTGGCGCACGCCTTTAATCCCAGCACTCGGGAGGCAGAGCCAGGCGGATCTCTGTGAGTTCGAGGCCAGCCTGGGCTACCAAGTGAGTCCCAGGAAAGGCGCAAAGCTGCACAGAGAAACCCTGTCTCGAAAAACCAAAAAAAAAAAAAAAAAAAGATCAGTACATGGGAGGCTTTGGAAGGAGGAAAAGGAAGGGGAAAATTATGTAATTATATCATCTCAAAAACTAAAAATAACAGTGAATTATAAATAAGATTCTTTTTGAACTATCAAACCACACACATAAGACCTTCTTCCTTTTCATGGCACACTGTCAGCCTGCTCATATGAGTCAGTAGCTCCAATGAGTAGAGTCATGGTGATAATGTACTCACCGATAAGGTACATGCCAATCCAGTCTCCAGCATCCACTTCTTCCTTGATGTCCCAGTGGATCACCAAATCCTGGGAGTGCCCTATGGAATAGTAGGAGCTGCTGACCATGAGTGTAGAGCGGCTGTCTGAAGTGACCAAGTCAGTGTCACTGGTGGAGCGAGGGATGGTGATGCCATCATGGGCGCCATTTCTGATGTCTATGTTGTGGAACTGGTCCGGGTTATAGCTGTAGCGGAGGGGCTCTTTGCATCGGCGTCGGCTCTGTGAATTTCTAGATGGAGAAGCCATGGCAGCCAGGCCCAAAAACCTGTTCTGGTACAGATTCTGTGGAAGAAAGGAGATATTGGACAGGGTCACCAAAAACCAGCAACTTGTGTCACATCCTGATGGGTATCAAAAGATGTGTTGAGGGGAATAAACTGTGAGGGAGCTGCCCTTCGAGGGGATGTAAAATATGACATGGAGCATCTTTTTCAGGGGCTTTTCTCTGCATTCACACAGGAAAAAGAACAAAGACACAAGGCACTTTCTGTTCATACCCTCCTGGAACCTCTGCCTCCTCCATCTCCCTTCGATCGAATTGACTCTAGAAGAAGTGGACTGCATGGAGAAGCCCAGTTCCCTAAGAAACACCACTTCTTGAGGTCGCTAGCATCAATTCAATTGATTCAAATTTTATCCTTTTTTTAGGGTAAAATATTATTATCTTCATTGAATATTTCAGGCATTCTTTTTTTTTTTTAATGTTTTTCAAGACAGGGTTTCTCTGTGTAGTTTTGGTGCCTGTCCTGGATCTCACTCTGTAGACCAGGCTGGCCTCGAACTCACAGGCCTCCCGAGTGCTGGGATTAAAGGCATGCTCCACTGCCTCTGGCTATTTCAGTCATTCTTGATCCATTCAATCCCTTCACACAGTCCAGAATGGTTCCTGCTGGATAAGGTAGTCATTCTTTCTCTTTCTCTCTTTTTCTTTAACCCCTTGACTCTATGGTATGTTTCTGGGCTCTCTAGAAATGTCTATTAAAGATTTCTTATTCTAGTAATTTTTGAATACCACAGTTGTTGATCAGATCCAAACTTAGAGGGCTATTTTCATTGAACCATCATTGTAGAAAACACTGCAGTTGTTTTTTTCTTTGTTAGTGTTTATAGCATTGAGTGTTTAAAATTAGCTAACCTGGAAGGTTGCCATCGTATAGAACTTGAGTGGGGATTCATTTTCAAAACAAGCAAGGGTGACTCCAACTTCATCGATGAATACTAAGATTGGATTAACATGCACATTTGGGAGATTTTGGCTTTAAAAGGTCCACGTTCTGTGACCAATAGCATTCTTGTTTTCACACACACACACACACACACACACACACACACACACACACACACGCCCAGAAAAAGCATTGACTCATGCTATTCAGACCCCAGGGACTGTACCTTATTATACATGCTGATTAAGTGAGAGCTAATGATATTTTGTATTCCAACCATAAGGACCAGACCCTACTGCCAGTCTCCCATTCAAATGATATGACTCTTCAGTTTACACACACTATTTAAGTGTGCCAATAGTATCACCTAATATCATGGAGATTGAAAACTATATGGATTAAATGAACAGCCAAATGTGTAATTATGGGTTAGACCAAACAATGATCACAGATAGCACATCTATGTTATCTCATGACCATTGGCCTGATAATCCTCCATATGACCCTATAGTGCTGCCAATTAAATTCATTCTGTATAGACCCTAAAGTCATCCTGTTTGTAATCCTCCAGACTTCTATAGAGAATTAAAATTGCATTCATGGTCCTGTGTAGATACTCTGCACATCAATTTTCAGGACTGAGGCTTGTAACATGAATCTTAAAAGGTCTTATTAGTATAAAACCCGGAGCCAGATATTGGGGTGAAATCTGAGAGATCAGAGGAATAGAACAAGCCAGCCACAAGTTCTTACTGCTAGGAAATCCTCAGCCCAAGAGAGAGGTACTTCCTTTATACTCACACCTTATATACCTTTCTGTGCCCTGCCATCTTACTTCTTCTCTCTGCCCAGCTACATCACTTCCTCTTTCCACCCAGCTCTATCACTTCCTGTCTGTTTGTACAGACCTCCAGACCTCTATGGTTAACTAGTGCTGGGATTAAAGGCGTGTGCCACCATGCCTGGCTCTGTTCCCAGTGTGGCCTTGAACTCACAGAGATCCAGATGGATCTCTGCCTCCCGACTGCTAGGATTAAAGGCGTGTGCTACCTCTGTCTGACCTCTATGTTTAATATAGTGGCTGGCTTTTTTCCTCAGATCCCCAGGCAAGTTTTATTTGTTAGAGCACAAATAAAATATCACCACAGAGGCTCCTTTTATATGGTTTGATATTGGGGAGGATATATTTCGTTGAGGAAGCTGAGGGTTTTATGCTTTTTGTTTTGTAACCCTTTTCTTCTTTTCATGTGTGTGTGTGTGCATGCATGTGTGTGTATTGTTTGTACATGTATATATATGCATGTTTGCATGTATCTGGGTGCATTTGTGATCAGGTGTGTGCATATGTGTATATGCATGGATGCTGAGGCCTAGTGCTTGTGTTGGTAGTATTCTTGGATCACTCTTCCACTTTATTCATATCAGGGTCTATCAGTCAAACCCAGAGCTTGCCAATATGGCCAGTTTGCTCCAGGGATTGCCTATCTCTGCCTTCAGAGGCTGAAATTACAAGCCAGCCATGTTAGGTGCATTCTGAAGATCTGAACTCTGGTCCTCTTTATTGCATGGCAATCACTCTAGCTGCTGCGCAATCTCTTCAGACCAGAGAAAGTTGCATGTGTTTACTTTAAGTGATTGATTAATTAATTAATAATTTTTACTTGAGAGACTAGGAGTCAGTCACATCTCAGACAGACAGATAAAGAAAGGGGCTGCAGATGATTTAAATGACAAGCCTCTGTCTTCTTTACCCTCCTGACATAAGAAAAAGGCCTGGTGGGCTTCTTTCTCTCCCCAGAAGTGCCCTCATCTGGCTGACCTGCCCAGGCTGGTCACATATGTTCAAGGCCAGTCCTGAACATGGCTACCTGAAACTGTGTGCCCATCAGGTCCCCATTCTTTGTTTACATGGACCAATCCAAAATTATGGAAGGAGGCCACATCCTAAGCCACCAAAACCATCAAAAATCTGCAGCCCTCCTGGGGAAAAATGGATTTCAATTCCAAGCCCCTCCCTGCTCTTCCAGGAGTCTTTCTCTACGTATTTTGGGGTGTGTGTGTGTGTGTGTGTGTGTGTGTGTGTGTGTGTGTGTGTGTGTGTATTTATTTGTAATAAGGTTTGTTAATGTTGCTGCTTGCTATGTGAAAATTTCCTGCCTTTTTGTTCTTTACCTGACCAAAAAAAAAAAAAACCAAAAAACAAAACAAAACAAAACCAACAAAAAAACCAGATCAAGAGTCCTAGATGGTAACATTTTTATATGAATGTTAATTAGGCCCTCAAAAGATTTTAAAGTGTTTCTCTTTTGTTGCAGATGTAAATTCTGCTATCATTTCATAAATTTCTTGAAGAATAAGCATTTCTCTCGCAATTGTCAAATTACACAAGTAATAATGGTTTACACGGTGAGAACAAAGACATGGATGGAAACATTGATGAAATAATATCTTTGCTGGTTAATGCTGAGTTGCAATATGGCATTTGCCTGGAATAAGGGAGACAACCTAAAGATGGTTCTAGAAGACTATGCTCTCCCACCCACCCAGACTCCTCCATCATCCAATGAGGATTAGTGCAATATATGGTAATTATGTAGTGTTATTAACTCGGAAGGCTGTAAAAGTGGTTTTGGGTACTCATTCAGTCACACTGCAAGCAGATTGTATATCACTTTACTGGTACACTCTAGCTCAAAATCTGCTACATCCTATCTTCTTCCTTTTTCAAGAGAGTGAGTAGGTTTTCTAGTCAGTGATCCCACTCTCTAGCAAATATTCCCATGAGATCGTAATGTTAGTTGGCTTGTCATAGTACCCCATCCTGTGAAGCTTTTGTCTCTTTACAGCTCCTATGCCTGGCATAATAACTAGTTTGGGGTTATTTTAGTCTTTAAATTTTTAGTTAAAATTTTATTTTAATCAAAATATCTTTTCTTGTGACAGAAATGGTTTATTATGCTGTATAAAATTAAAATCCAGAAAGAGAAGAGGCAATAAGTTGTATACAAAGGAGGCTAAACATAAAACTGTATTTCATCATGTCCTAAACAGGTATTTTTATTAAAGATTTTATAATAATTGATTCATTTCAATTGTTCCTGTTTTACTGATATGTAGTTGGCAGAATCCTGTGAGTTGACTTATATAAGGCTATTATTTGACATATATGTCTTTTGTAAACACACTCTTGCTGCACCTAGTTACTCTTTTAAATACCGTTCACATCACCAAGTTAGCCTTTTAAACCTTGTTTTGTGATAAAGGCATCGTAGTTGTTAATTCTTGAATGCGGTATGTGACTAGCACTGGCAGCCTAATGTGGGATTCTTTTGTGATTGGGCTTTCCCTAGGCATTCACAACTATTCCCAGAATACTATAGACTGACAGGGCTGGAAGAAGCAACTCAATCAGCCTTCATTTCTAATGTGTGGGGAACAGATGGAGATCTACCCTGTTTTGAGACAGCCACGGATAAAGACCACATAGTGCCTGAAGCGTTATGCCACTGTTTTAAACCCTGGACTTGTGCCTAATCTCTATGGAATCATATCCTCTGACATGGAAGCTTCTGCTTTAGTTTCTGAGGAAGCAAAGCCCAGTCTCTGAATGAGCAAGAATCGGGCATAAACTAAATGAGTAAGAATCAGAACTAAACTGTTCTGAGACTTTGATCCATTGTACCGAATAATTCATTTTTGTTGATAAGCAAAATCAAACTGTAGCTAGAGTTTTCCTGCCTGGCCCACAGTCAGGACAAATCTCTCTCACCTGCCAGTCCCACAGCCACTCAAACCCAACCAAGTAAACACAGAGACTTATATTGTTTACAAACTGTATGGCTGTGGCAGGCTTCTTGCTAACTGTTCTTATATCTTAAATTAAGCCATTTCTATTAATCTATACCTTGCCACATGGCTCGCAGCTTACCGGCATCTTCACATGATGCTTGTCATGGCAGCGGCTGGCAGTGTCTCTTCCCACCTTCCTGTTCTCTCCATTCTCCTCTCTGTTAGTCCTGCCTATACTTCCTGCCTGGCCACTGGCCAATCAGTGTTTTATTTATTGACCAATCAGAGCATTTGACATACAGACCATCCCACAGCATCAAACACTGA